ATTCGCTATGGCTGAGGGCTGGCTGTCCAAGCTGGTGAGAGTCAGGTTGGGCAGTTTCCACTTCTCTGTCCTCCGTCTACACACAAAGCTGGGGGCGGAGGGAAATAGCAGCAGATTCAAGCCAATGAGCACCGATCCCTTAAGGACTGGAAAATCTTTTTAATCAAGAGATAATTAGCTGTCTTGTAAACTAAAGAGTGCCCAAAACAAAATACGTTCTAATGGTTGAAAATCACTGATTCTCCCCTAGCATTTTCAAGAGGCAATACATGTCTACAGTTTCATAAACCTAATTCATTAAAGTCAAACAGATAATCAAGGGTAAGGATTTTTTAAAAAAAGCTAAAGGATTTTTTGTAAACAGAACTGAAATAATTTTTGAACATTTATTTATAGAACTAGGAGGACACCTAATATCCTAAAATGTTAACACTCTGCCTTTGGCATCTTATTTATCTCATTTAATCTTCACAATAATCTTATGAGATAGATTCTATCCCCCTTTTATATGAAAACAGTTGAGACCTAGAGAATTTAGTAAGTTACCCAAAGTGACAAAGTCAGCAAGTGGCAAAGCCCAATTTTGAAAGCAAAACAATTGGTTCCAAGGCCTATGTGTTGGCTCCTATGCCATGCTGCCTCAGTTTCCACATTTCCATAAGGATAATACTGAACTCAGTAGGTTGATGTGAGGACTAACTGCAAGAATTTGTTTGCACACTTAGCACAGTATTTGATGTCAACAAATCTAGCTGTGGTTTAAAGAAAAACTCCTTCAGTGGCCATATCTTTTCCTTCTCTCAGTTTCCTACCATTATCTTTATTTTATCATTTGCTGGTGCATATGTGCATATGTCTGCATATGCACACAAACACACCTTCCTTCAGGGAATAGTTTCACAGGAAAATCAGGGCTACGAATTTGTGATATAAGAAGAGTGGGGGAAAAATTACAGAATGTGATTTAGAGCAAAGAAATAATTTTTCTTAAAGGGTGGTGTGATGCTTTCATATTTTAGCAGTATGGAATACATTGCTCTCCAAGCTGAGTGAAATTCTAGCTGTAGCGTTGGAAACTATGTGGAGATGTGGGTGCATTCCTTCAGCTACAGGCACTATGGCTGTCTCTGTTGGCCACTGAAGGTCCTGTTCCTTTGTGGACGTGGAACCTGATGAACCATTGGCCGTTCCACTAGGAATCCGCCTGGCCTGCTTTTGCACACACTTGCTTCAGCTGGCCCTGAGCTCAAGAATAACCTCTGCTGAAACAAGCCAATCACAGCTTCTCCTTCCTCTGCAAACAAGAGAATTATGTTATGTTCTATTCAGAGCCCAGTAAAATCCCTCTGTCAGTTTTCTCTTTCCTTTCTTCTATGTACTTATTACAGAGTGGTGTTTAAAGAGTCCCCTTCTTCACTGTAATCAGCCTCCCCCTCCTTCCTGATTCATATGTAGAAGTGATTGTGGAGCCAATGACACCAGAGTCTTCCCTGAATGATTCAGACCAGGTGAGCTCACTGTTTAGACCGACAGTTACCCAAGACATTAGTGAACAAACAGCCCAGACATTCTTAGGGAAGAAGCACAGCCATGGGCCACAACACTGAAGGAATTACAATTCCTGCAGAAAAGCCTCAGAGAGCAATGACCAGAGTCTGTTTCAGGGGGCTGCAGGAATTTCCTCTGTGGCAGCAGCAGCCAGGGGTGCTCAGAGGAAAAACAGGAAAGGGTGCCTGGCACAGTAGAAAGGCAAAGGTCAGATGTCATCTGTGTATGAGAGAAAGAGAAAAGTTTATAAAGGATTCCGGAGAGCTATATTTAGGCAGAGTAAGATTTTTATGAGTTAAGGGATTTAGGAAAAGAAACCTAATCCAAGGTAAGGTATTATTCAAGTATCAGTGAAAACTTAGCTGTTAGTGTATTCCTTATCTCTAGCTGGAAGAAAAATAGGAAACCTTATGCTCAGTCCATTTTTACAGTTCTCATCACTAGCATAATAGGTAGAGTAAATGGCCATAAAAGACATTTGCTTTGTCCTCAGCTAGTGGGGTGATATTAATGGCCACTGTTGTCCAGAGACTGGTATGACCTTCTGCTTAACGTCTTCCATACCCCAGCTCTCAAGTCTACCTTGGAAAATACATTGAAATTGTGTATTAAGCTTGAATCCTTTCTTCTCAAGGAATATCACAGGATGGCTCTAAAGCCCAATGTTGAGGTCTGGAGGTTAATGATTCCATGGGTGGTCCAAGCAGCTTTAAGGTGTCGAGGCACTAGGTTGAATCTTTAAGACTTGGAGTTACAAGATGGTGGCTGCAACTAAAGACATTATCTTCTCATATCGCTTGTGTACTGCCTAGATGACCTGAATGCAGTAGAAGTACCCAGAGGATTCAGCACAGCTCATGTCAAACCATTCCATTAAGTAAGTACACTTGGAGGAGGAAGAGCTGTGTATTCAATTCTGTCCTTGCTGTCTTTGGTGCTGTCCTCCCAATAGCCTCAACCATATAGCCACACCATTTTGAAGACTGAGAATATTGCCCCCAGAATTCTCAGGAGTGCCAAGCAGAAAATCCTAAGTCAAATATGCCTAGAAATCCTTAGGCAAGTAAAACTGATAATGTCGACAGAAATAGGGTAGTGATAATTGAGAGAAGCAAAGGAGAGACAGGAAGAAAATATCTATATATAAAGAATTGAGGAAGTGAAAACACAAGAAAGATAGAGATGCAAAGGGGGCTTAGTTTATTTATCAGTTATGGGTCAATCTGCTTGATAAACTCAAAAAATGCTCCCCAAGCTCACAGGAAAAGGAAAAAAAATTATGAGCGATAAGAAATGAGAAACAGAAAGTCAAAACCATAATATCCAAAATATTTGTAATAGGGAGCCCAGAAAGGAGCGTAGAGCTGATAGAGGAGAAAATGTTCTTGTTCCCCAAACAGGAGGGATTAGTGATGAGAGGAGGGAGTTATATATCCCATAGATCTATAAGGAGGAAGGGACTTTGTCTAAAGAGACTACGAAAAATACAAGGAAAATTTTCATTCTGTGACATTCAGACCGTCACATTGAACTCGCCATCCTACCTCTCTTCCAAAGTCCCATTAAAACAACCAGAGGAAAATAATGATAGGAAAAAATCTGTCATTGTTCAAAACTGAAAAAGAGATTCCACCCGCATACCAGACATTTTAAGGAATTTCTGCAAGACTTAATACAGATGAGACCAGTTTGAGAGAAGGGTTTGACAACCTTCGATTCACCTCACAGAATAAAAGGTCTCTTGAGGTAGAAACTCCCACCAGAACCACTAATGCTCC